AATAGTTTAACGTTTTGTTTTCTGCCTTCTATAATTTTCATGGCAGGTTACTAAGCGAAATACAACCACAACGTTGCTGAGATATTTGCAAAACTCTGGACCGCAGGTGTCTATGGTGGGGAACGAACGCGCTATTATCCTTTCCGGGGAGTAACGCGTTCACCACCACACCATGCGGGTCTTTTGTTTCGCACGTCTCTCAGCTATTTCTATCGATCTTTTTGCCACAGCAATCACCCGTCAGCGGGGTTGATCTGGGGAGCGCATATCGGCATAGAACCCAGTTAAGCTATGGCTGTAGTTGAAATCACAATGTTTAACGTTTTGTTTTCTGCCTTCTATAATTTTCATGGCAGGTTACTAAGCGAAATATTCCCGGAAAGGATAATAGCGCGTTCGTTCCCCACCATAGACACCTGCGGTCCAGAGTTTTGCAAATATCTCAGCAACGTTGTGGTTGTATAGAAATAGTGTTGATATAACAGATGCTATTAGATCTCATCAAGCAAGCTGCAGCACACGAAATCTGAAAGAAAATCGACGAGTCGGAGACCGATTACCCGGATTCGTCGTGCAGTGATGTAACGGCCATCTATGGCCGAAACACACCCTTGGCCGCTGTCCACGGCGTGGAGGTTCCTGATGCTAGAGTTATTAAAGGAAATGCACAAAAACCATATGAGAGAATAAGAAGGTTGGAGGACGAAAGCACTCCTCGCTCACTTTGTCATGGAAGGTTTTCCTCGCAACTTTTATAAAGGTTTTAAATAAAAAAATGAATATGCGCACGTATGAGACAAATGATATTCACACAGTGCATTTGCGAACAAAAGTAAAGTAACGCAATACCAGACCACACTGAAAAACATTTGCTGAAGAAAAACAAGACCACTGTTGGATTTGGTTGTTTGTTAGGAAAAAAATGTTTAGAGACAGAGGCGGTATTAAAGTGATTAGTACGAAAACACTATGTTTTCAATATATAGTACAGAAGCTTGAGATAATAGCCCTCAACTACTTCCTAGCTTCCTGCAATTCTCGAAAATCTCTTTAATAGATAAAGACAGTCGTCAGTCGTGAAAAGTACTATTCTCTCGAGCATACCAACAAAAACGCATGCGGAGTGATTACCTACTGTGTAAATAACATGCTCAAACTATTCTGAATTCTTTGTAAAATTCTTTAAAGGATTTTGGTTCATCCAATGCTGTATTTATAGGCCTAGTCGCTCCCAAAGACTACACCTCGTCGACGTCTTTGGGAAAGATGCTCACAACTTCCCAACTTCCAGTGGCCTCCTATTCAAGCAAAGCAGCAACAGCGTTGATTGAAATGGGAGTGGAGAACATCATCGCTACGACGCCAACGATTGAAGTCTATGTTGAAGTACTAGTCAGGTATTCGAACAAGCCTTCAGCAGTATTTGCTTTGTTGTTTAAAAAATGACCGCTCCGTTCAGATTGATGTCCTTGCTTTATTCGAATCTGGTCACAGTTGTGCAGGATGGATTCAGCAAGAAACTGGTTGAACGGTACGCGTTACTGGTCACATTTTGCATCATTAGATATTTTTAAGTGTCAAGGTAACTTCAGGTCAAATCGAAAACTATTTCCGTCAAATCCTGCTCGCAGCGAATGTTTTGCAGCACTACTCGGGATTCGTACTATGTTGTACTTGTAGACCGAAACAGGCAATACCTAGTGTACGCCAGGGCAGCTCCGCTACAGTGAATAGTGCAGCGATGTCGAGTCGTTAAGGAGATTGACTTGAAATTAATTGGGCACTGCCCGTTCGAAACCTGCTCGCAGCGAATGTTTTGTAGCACGAACATTCGCAGCGAGCAGGTCATTCTATTTCCTATAGACGCCTTGTGTGTAAATCATTTAAAGAATGTGATTACTATCATGTGTACACCAACAAAGCTCTTTATAGCAAAGTTCCTTCAGTGTGACAAAACAGTTGAACGAGGCTGGCATCTTCGTGGCTGAGGTGGTGGACGTAGATCATCCGCGTTTGGCTCACATTCTTAGAAACACCGACAGTAACATCATCTTGTCCTTACTATCAACGAAGGAGGTAGTTCTATCCACTGACAACTATTAATCCTATGTACGCACTTTTTCAAAAATTGCGTCACGTATTCCGACATTTTAAAACTTGTTTCGCTAAAACTAGTAGTAGATCCCAGGATCGACTTTCTCTTAACCTCGGCATTGGAATATGAATGTGTCGTTTTGTTGCTCAGCAATCGCGAGGTTTTTAAACAGCATACATTTACTTCCATAAAAACACAACACAATACAACGCTAGCTGACGTTTCGGCAGTATCGCCTTCTTCAGAGCCTGGAAGGGTATACTGATATACAATCTACTAGGCCAAACGCTTCAATAAATAGCAGAATAGCAGGGACGAATGCCCGGAGGTCATACGCGACCTGATCCCGTACGTTCGCATCGATTTTTGATGTGGGATGGTGCAGTCGTCAACCACATGAGACTATAATCAGCTGTTCTAAACTTCCTCATTGGAAGTCACGGAAAAAGCGGTGGGTTTTTCGAGAAGTTGTTGATCGTGTAATTACCAAAGAGTCTTTCGTCTTTGTGTAAGTGTTATTGAAGCGTTTGGTCTAGTAGATTGTATATCAGTATACCCTTCCAAACTAGTAGTAGATTTCAATTTTCATCAAAATCAGTAGAATTTTCCAGTACTACAGTCGCACAAAGAATGCTGTAAACTCAGATATTCCATCCAACCCTCCCAGCTCCTCTCATAACCCTACAACACTCATTAGTTAAGTGGTCCCATGCTTATTCACAACATAACTTCCTGCTTTTTTAGACGCAGATGGACGTATTGTTGCATTCTCATTGATGGAAAGAGCAGTTACCAAAGAATCAAAAGTATCAAACGCAAATGGGACGAATTTTGCGTCCGCCGTAGTTTTGGTGAAAAAATTGAATACTACAAGCTGCTTTTGAGAGCTACAGAGGTCGCATGTATATAAAATTTGGGTTGTAAGCTGGAGTTAAAGTAATTCAACAAGAAGCTTGAACTCATATTGAATTCCAGCTGCACTAGCCTCGAGATTACTTGCATTTCAGTTTATTCATGTTCTAAACGATCCATCTGTCTATAAAATGGATAAACTCTGGATTTCATTGCCGACTGATGGACGGGCCTTGTACGACGACCAGCGGTCCAATCTTCTCCATCCAGAAGCTCAAATTCAGGTGATTCAAATGCTCACGGCGAATTGACCATGCTCTCAGATGACCCTGTCCTCTCAGGTCATCACACTCCAACCGCAACTCATGGAACTGCCAGACTTCCGTGACTACTTTCTTCGAGTGCTCAGAAACAACTACCAGAAATTCCAACTATTCACTTCATATGTGCAGCAGGTGACGAGCTTCTCTTTGCATCGAGTTTTTTGTATGTCAGATTAGGTTTAGCAGTTGCAGGTGTATAACTGTAGTGACACGAACTGCGACGTTGACAAGCAGTACATGCGACAACGACATCGGCCATCGATGTCGATAGAAGCAGTGATTCGAATGACGTACGCCTTTGCAGCCGTCGGCCGCAAAATCGCCAGTGATTCCGAAAGCGAGGAAACGTGGTGAGTGCTGGATTCCCATGACTGTCTTTTCGTTAGCACTCTCAAAAATAGTTTTATCAATAAGTCCTTGGCCACCAGAGCATTTGACGGGTTGAGAACTTTTAAGAGCACCACCATCACCTACATAGTGAAATCCCACTTATTCTTTGAAGTTTTTACTTGTGCTTTCGGAATACGACCCTTGATGCAGAAAAAGTGAAGAAAATATGTGTCATGAGCTCCATTAAATAAGAATTCGACAATTTTATAATATGACAACTTGTATATCTTCTAGACAAAGAGCTGCAGATTCTAGTGGCCTTTATTCCAACTAGTAATACGACATGAGCTGGGATATGTTGGCTTTAAGGTAGAAGACGCCATTGTTTCCGGACTAAATGCATTGTACACGCTGCATGTTGGACGTTATGAGTTAATTGATTAGTTATTGATTAGTATGTTATTGTTATTGATTAGTGTGCAACACTAACACAAAAATATGTTACTTCCGTTGAGCAAGAAGCTTAAACCGAAAGGAAAAGAATAACTAGAAAAGCGGTTGCGGAAGTAAGCAAAGGTAAGAAGATCTGGTATTAAGAGCTGCGGAAAAGCCTGTAAAATAAACGAAAACGAAAATGAAAAACGGAAGTAAAGCGAAACTAGAATGCTTAGTAATGAAGGACGAAGAAATCACAAATAAATTGTTGATTCTAATGGTTTTTAAAAAAGAGACTAGTGGAAGGAGATTCAAGAACGAAATTTCCAAGCAGTTAGACTCAGTAGGGGTATAGCCAGCAGAGTGAGTCGGGAAGAATCTTCTTGATTTCAGCATTCATCCAACACCAGAGTGCACCGCTATCATCATCCGCGAGCTCTTAGCTTTGGACTACGAATTCGGGACCGAAGACCCCCCAGAATTCGTTGGAGAGCGACTAAGCTTCTACAGAGGTAACCCTCAGCGTATATTTCATTAGAGTCACCTAGCTGAGCATTTACTCGTGCAACATTTTCAATTGTCGGGCGGCAGAATCAGCACACATACTCACTGTCTGTCGATCAGGACTTCGATACAGTGTACGCACACTCCCAGAATTGCAAAAAACCTACGACCTGCGCCGAAATTCCATTGTTAATGAATTTATTTGCATAAATAACTAACTATTTTCGTGATGAGTAGACACAAGATTGTTATTACACGATTTATGCACAATACTGACACCGGCGATTTCACTTTCTTCAGAACCTGGACTGGTCAAAATGGCGTGCAATGTGCGCAGTCTAACACTTTCATAACCGGGGCACACACTAACGATTATTTCTAACCTAATGTAAACCTGCATCTGCATAGGTTGCGGAAATGTGCTGCTGGCATCTGGCATGACCGTGAAGGCGGTCGAGTTCTTTAACTCTGACGGAGAACTCACTGCCCATCAGATGATGACCTATACGACGGGACATCAACCCACCATAATCTCATCAGCGGTCCGAGCAAAAAATCAACATAAGCGGTCGATATGTAGCCCTTATAGATCATTCTGCGGACAATGCCAGAATGTACAGTGGGTAAATGAAGAGGCAAGTTTTTCTTGTTTGCTCATACAACAGTTTAGTTTTACTTCGCATGTCTTCAACAACTGTTCATGGAAAGAAAAGTCGACTTACAGCGGTACTTCCTATCGATCCCTCGTCACTATCCGATGTATTTCGTTGGACTGTTCGATTTCCATAGCGGACCTTCCTGCCAATCGACTGCCACTACCGACATCAGTCTGCCAATGGCATTCATTTACACAGTAGGTGACACAAGTCGGCATGTTGAACGTTAGAAGCGCTCGTGAACATTGCCGAAGCCCTTAATGAAATCGAACTACCACCCCAGTGGTTTGCTACGCAAATCCTATTTGAGATCTCGATAAATTTGACACATTGTGAAAATTATGCAGGCTAACTTAGTGCGTTTAAGTAATCAGAACTGTTAAACGCCTATTGCTATCTAGAAAGAACGAGTTTCTTCAAATGAATGTAAGCATTCACTGCTTATTACGAGGAAGAAATGTAACTTGTCTATTTTTAGGTGTCGACCATTAAACAGCGTTTTGCCGACATGCTGTTGTTAAAAAATTTTGATTTCGGGGTGCTATTTGTGGATTCGTGTTCTTCAGCCAAACGGACCGTAGAGACTGCCGTTATGACTGAGACGCAGTGCTTCAGCTTTAGCCAAGCCGATCGCAATATCACAATCGTTCCCGGCTCGGCGCTCGGATATGTGTCAGCATTAAATGGGAATTCTCAGGAAGCGCTCAAGGGCTATTTTTCCTCTGGGGATTCTGTAGCTGCACTTTTGACTACAAGTTTGGATTCCGTTTCTCGTCACGAATATTCAACTATTCCTAGTGCTAGAAACCAGGCTCTAGCCTTATTGAAATTTTTAAACAGAATGCGATGGCAATTTGTAACGGTGGCACTCAGCGAAGAGGTAAGGTTTCAAATGTAGAAAAAAGTGCTTCACATCTAAACGATATTTTCAGGATGCTGAGTCTCTGGTGACGTTTCGACATTTCGAACGTTTGGCATTGGAACGTGGTATCTGCTTGGCCGAGGTGTTGAACATCCGCGGTGTTCGCGCCGACAACTTACCCATCAGTACTACCACCAACGTCACCATTGTAATTCCTTGTTGGAGATTCTTTTCCGTTTTGCTATCTGTGTCGATCGCAGTGACATTTAGGTTTTCTCCACTGCAAGGGAAGCCTCTGCCTATTTGTCACTAACGCTTCGCTCACCTCGTAAAGTGATTCACGTAATGATGGGCGATGCTCATGATTGGTACCTGCATGATACGGAAAACAAGAAACGCTTTCAAGGGATCGTTTCCATTCAACCTAAAGTATGCCATTCATCTTATTCCATCTAATGCTTACAAAACTCTCATCGATCTAATGCGACTATTTTCTTACACAAGAGTTGTTTTTATTTCAAAAGTTATGTTAGTAGTGTTGATATATATTACGGGTGTTATGTGGTTCGATGTGAAATGTACTCTTGAAGAGCGGTTTTGGTTGTTACCATGAAAGATGACCCGTTGGAAGACGATTAGTACGCTATAAGACAATGACGTTCATTAAAAGACCAGTTTGTGTACGGGTGTAGAAATACTGGAAGGTCACAAGTCATTGAACAAAGGAGGTAGTTAATTTGATGAAGCAAGTCAGTACATAGTTTTTCTGAACGATGTCAATTAGAAAAGAAGGAGCGTCAACCATATGCGACTCTGAGCGGCTGTTCTTCCTCGGTTGAAGACAGGTGAAAAAAGCGGCTCTGAAGAAGGTGATCCTATCGAAACGTCAGTTACGATTGTGTTGTATGTGTGTTATTTTATGGAAGCAAACGTATGCTGTTTAACAACCTCGCGATTGCTGAGACAGAAAACAAGAATTCATAGTCCAGTGCCGAGGTTAATAGAAAGTCGATCCTTGGATATTTTGATTGTTAGAATCGTAGTATTTTAAGACGACATTGATCTCATCAAGCATTAGACAGCGAGATGAATGCTATCGACTTTAACAGCGCGTGTTAAAAGATCTGTCTTTGATTGGAGCTCAAGAAACGATGTTTTTTACAAATGGGTTGGTATGCGATGCTCAATTTACGCTCAACAGAACCGATATCTCCGAAGACTCCAGCTATGCAAATAGGCGTCAGCTGGTCAATACGATCTACGCCTCATCTCCAAGCGTGAAAGGAACGATTGGCCTGAAGAGCTTGTAGAAACATCAAAAATATACTGAAGAGAAGGAAGAACACCTTACGCATCCATCTCTACAGCTGAATAGTTAATGGTTAACGCTCAGTTAACAGTCGAAGGCCAGGATGTTATTACATACCGCGTGGAAACCAGGTGGTTCTCAGTTAAACGTTCCAGACAAAACCCATTACTGATTAGGAATCACAGGCCAGCCATTAATTCGGTGGTCATGTTTTACCATTACGAACATTTATGAAGAACATAATGCTCTGTACGTTTGTTGCACGAAAACAAGTCATTGCGTATCCCTGACATGCATTATGAACGAATGGGAGTTAACTGTCGTACAATAGAGTCACATCGCGATCAGTGAAGTAGCAAAGACGCAGGTGCTGCAGGATGCAATCACGATACCGAAGCCATGTGCTAGGAAGGTCGAAGACTCACTAGACAAGTGGAATTACGAAGAACCTAATGTTCAAAGAATCCCACAAACGATGAATGAGAAGAAAAAACGATCTTTGGTGTTTCACTCTGAGTAGTGTAGTACCGAGGTTAAATGACGGTCGGCTTCAAAATTTTTCACTTTGAATTCATGCTCGAAGTGTTATTTCCTCTTTTGAGACTGCTCTTTCTGACTATTAAAGCATTCTCTACGGGTTCTGGATTAACCTGAATTTTGCATGTCTTTCATAAAATGTACATTGTAGCAACATTTGGTTACCGTAACACTGTAACTGTAACTAATACGACCAAAAATTCAAGGCCAGAATATGTAACATTTCGTCAATGAGATGTAAGGCAAAATTAATTTCGAAATTAATTAATTAAGTTAATTTAAATTTATTTTAAAATTAATTATTTTTTAATTTAAGAGACCGACAAAAGTCGTGAAGAACTTCAGGTATGTAACCTTTAAGGATGTACTACATGAAGATTTCCGTGAATGGGCCAGTACAACGACACCGTTGACGCTACCGGAGAGTTGGTTCTGGTCCTACGTGGAGGATCGCTGGCAGTGCGCATTAACACAAAAGAGTAAATTGACTTATGGAAAGATGTGTACTGGCGACGAACAGGTCGATCTGAACAACTTGGGTAAGATCTTTAGAATAATTAAGCATAGAATTGTGGTGGAGTACTTGCTCCAACCATTATAGTGTGTCAAAAAAAAGAGCAAGTATGTTCTTTTATAACTCTAATGATGCTGAGATATTTGCAAAACCCCGGACCGCAGGTGTCGGCGGTGGGCAACGAACGCGCTATTGTCCCTTCCGGGGAGTAACGCGTTCACCACCACACCATGCGGGTCCTTCGTTTCGCCTGTCTCTCAGCTAGTTCTATCGTTCACTTGCCATCAGCAATCACCCGTCAACAGGATTGATCTGGGTCCGGAGTTTTGCAAATATCTCAGCGTCATTAGAGTTATACTTTGCAATATACCCTGACGTTAAAAAGAGTAGGCAGTAAATAATAAGTTGAAATTATGTCCTCTTACTTTTTTTACGAATATCCTTTCTACTAGGATTGTTTACCCAGCTTCACTAGTTTTATTTCTTACATTTCTACAGCGCGTTTAGCAATATTAATGTGGTTTAAAGAGCGCAGTTCGTCCTATTGGGGAATGTAAATAGAAGCACAGTATTAGCAAAAAACAAAGGCAGGACAGATGGACTAGTCTCGAGTGGAGTCAGTGATAAGCAATCTGATGAATATCGTTTGCAGGTCGAATGACCAAAGCTGGCTATCTCTCCAGAGGAGTAGAGCGATTCCTGCTTATAGTGGACTCTGTCTACAAGGTGCGAAATACAAGAAATTCCTAATAGTACGGAACTACTAGATGAACACGTTACGGGAGATACACAATCATGCCTAAAAGTGGGAATTAATAGATAAGATGCCCAAATAAAATATAGGACTACTTGGACCCCGGCAAGAATTTCGATTATTTTCTTTATCGAAAAGGTGTCGAAATGAGTCAACCGTGAGTGATGTAAAAAACAGGCTGATCTTTCTGCTGGTGGCTGCGATAAATATAGTGTACTTTGTCAATGCTAAAAGCTAGAAAAAGCTCTCGACGTTGATCAATTCCCAAGGGATCCGCCATGAATTTGACTTCATCAAGCCCTATTAGAGGTGGTTGAATGCACATCTGGCCTATATAGTGACTCGCAGTGGCCTATCGTTGTTGATGGTAGCAATTTGCCGACTCCGGAGTGAGGAAGGCTTGGTGAGATTGGGGCGCAGGGTCGAAGAAGTGTATTGCAGAAAACCTCTGACCAGACACACGCCTATTTCTCTCAATGGCGTTTGGTTAAATCGCTTTATTTCAGAAACTCTGCCCTGCACAGGCAGGCTTATGCTCGGACTTTTATGAGGACGGACGTCGTATGATAATGAGGCAAATAGAGAAAACCAGTGTGGAGGACGACGTTGATATCTACGAATTTTTACGTATTGGAAACGGTAAGGAAATCTTCCAGTCGGCGGCTGTTTTTGCTGCTGCCAATTTCGACAGGGTTTTACTAAATAACAAGATAGATAAGTTGAATGCCACTCCACGATCAGGCACACAACACAGTTTTATAAATTCATTTATAAGGTTGTCAGAAGTAAAAGGAAAAAATCCACCTTCCGATTGTTTCTATCCACCTCTAACCAAATAAAATTGTTTACAAACATTTTTGACATCTAATTGACAATCATATGTGAATCGTTTCTACTTCATGTTTTTCGGATCGCTCAGCAAGTAAACATTCTTTCTTAGGGGCATTTTCTTCAGATCAATATACATACCGTACGATCGGGAACTGGTCGATGAATGGCGGACTGCATTTGCACGTGCTTTTTCATAGCTTCTTCAACGAACCAGTAGAGTCTACGTGTAAGCCACCGATGTGCAAGTGCTTCATCGATGGAGACCTTTTCCAGGTAGTGATTCCTATTAAACGGTGTATACGCGTTTCAGCAGCGTATCGTTTTTCGTTTTATTAGTGCTTAGGACCCGTGTAGGAGAGCTGTTAGGGGTGCGTTGCACTACACAAAGTGAACATATCGCTGGTTCAATCCCACGCCCCTGGCTCTTGGCTCACCAACCCTTCCATATTTCCGAGGTTAGCGTATTGGAACCAGACTTGTCTGGAAGGATAGCAACATGAGTTTATAAATTGGTGGGCCACCGCATCTTATTGTGTAGGCCAAATATACATTCAATCACATCTAATGTTACTTAATGAAGTCGAACGAATGCAGCACCCTGCTTAGATTGATCAACGCAAGAAGTTTTATCCTTTTTGCTGTCATTTTATGTAGATAATCCCAAGAGCGATTTTTATTAATCTCACCACTGTTCAATGATTCACAGTTTTCTTAATGAATGGGCACGACGTTGTTGCCACACTATTTATTCTCAATAGCCGACATCTGCGGTTTCGACTTCTTCAGACCCTTGAAAGGTCGAATTAGCACGCAATATACTCAGCCAAACGTTTTTATAATCCAAGGGGATAAAATCTAATACGTAAACTTTCATTCACATAGTAAACGGGTTCTTTTAAATACTTAGCGTTTTAAGCTGAACAATTTAAGCCAGTTGATTATTTTACTACCGAGCTTAAATTATGGTCGGTTTAAAAATTGTTTTGTTATTCGCTGTGTGCTAGCTAACATAATACCAACTGCTGCAGGATGCATTATCTGTTGAAAGACAAACTATAATCGGCGGATAATCATTATCAATAACAACCATCCTACATGAAAGAGCGCCGCCGGGTTAACATGCGTCATTCGTGCGGTATTCCACTGAAGATATCCGCCTCGGTACGCCTACGAAGACGTCACATCGAGAAGGCGAACAACTGTGGACCATCGAGTCGGATCATCGGCCCCAAGGAAGACGAAGACGTCAAAACGTTAGCCGAATAAAACAATTTTATCAACCTCATGTAAGCTCAAAAATTTAAACAAGTTGATTAATCAGCGTTCTGTTCTCTCTTTAAGTTCTTCAGTTATCGTTGGAGACCAGCTACGTGGATGAGGAAAGTACCTGGATCAGATCAAAAAATCAGCGTGAAGTATAGCATGAGGCTGCGCGTGATCGCGAGACACTCCTAACTGCAGTTCATTTTTGGATTTTTTGAATTTATCCAAAATGCTTCAAGAGTTTTACGCGCCGATGTCTTGGATTCCTGTGCGTGGATAGTGACTTCTACTTCAAAATCTCCTCCGTTATCTCTTTTTGTCCTAAGCGTGCCTAATGGAGTTCTCTATTTGACTTTAGTTTTCTCAACAAGGTGCTGTTTTGTACGGACGCGAGTGCCATCCGTCTTGCTAACGGGTTCATCCCCAGACGCTCTACAAGAGATCAGATGAAGCGTACCCAAACTGATGCGATCGCTGTTTCTACCATTAGAGAAAATTTCTGTTCCATTCCATGTTCCATCCATTTCTGCGTTTCCAATAGATGTCATGAAAACGGTTACGAATAGACCAGCCCTTGTTGAGCAACGTTTTGTAGTTGTAGTTCTTTTCGTTAAAAAATGAAAGGATTAACGGAACCTTATCTTCTCTAGACTTGTCGCTCAAGGGCGTGTTTTTCCTCTAAACCTATCCCGAGCAACCATCGTTTTGTAGCCACTGGAAATTCCTTCGTCAAGTTCATGAATTACTTCTTCTGCTCTCTTCATGTTTACGCATGGTGGCTGTTGGAAACATGTTTCTAAACAGCATTACCAAAGAAACTTTGCATGTGGTCGCATGCGCTCTGAATGAACTTCGAAATGGACTCCGTTACAAAGCTACGCTAGACGCGCTGCATAAGAATGAAAACAAGTGGGGGCATGACCACCACTTCGTTTTCCTCGAACGTCGTTTCGACAGGAAGGCCCAGATGGCGAATTAGGCATCAGATTTCGGATATGTTGGGATCAAACTCTCTAAATCTTCAACTATTATCGAGAAGAAAAATTTGGTCCCAAAACCATAGAGTGCTGCTCGACAGGTTCAAGAACTAATGTAATCAAAAACTATTAGATTGTCAGCTATTGATAACGGTACAGAATTTATAGTAATTCCTCTTTACTTAGATATTGGGATAACAAAAAAGCATTTTGAATATGCTTTCCTTTGTCGTCTATCGTCTGGAAAGGAATTCAAAAGTCAACACAAAACATTGAACGATGACTGATTTAAGGCAGAAAAAGCGGTCGCTTTAAAGTCATGGGTTATTTCTCCAGTTAAATGTAAACTAACAACATGCTCCATTTAGTACTTACTTATCGAAATACAGGTTGGTATTCATCGATGATCTTGCGCCAATCGATCCACCATTATTCAAGGTTAGACCCAACAGCAGCTGTGTAAACTGGCCATTATACGTAGAACAACATCAACATGGTTTTTTACTTTGTTACTTGCCTAATCGCTGAAGAACATCTCTGCTCATCTCAGGGCCACCCAAATGTTGCTGGATCGTCTACGTAACACGCTTCTTAGCAGCGCGTACGTGATGGAGTCATTTAACGTTTATCACTTGTCACCTGTCGTCCCACTGATCGTCTGATTGTCGAAGGACTTGAATGAGCGCCAGTAAATCTTCTATTTTTCCCTGTCGTGTGTAAAAGTAACCCAGTCGGTTCTGCTCGCCCTAGGATCTCGTCGAGCATTATGCCTTTATTCTATGATTTTCATGAAGCCTCTAAGCATTGGATCAGTGGACTGCGTTATGTCTGACAAACCTAAGAATCCAGTCACTAACGGCTCTTGTCCACCGGTTGTCGTTCATACGCATTACGTTTTCGGTCCACCTTACCTCCGAAATTTTGGCGTATAAAACGGCGTGTGATTTTCGATCGTTCACGTACGTCGGAGCTTCAGATCCCTTCCGTCACTTGTGTGATACGGAATACCCCTAGTATCGTCCTTTCGACTGTGCGTTCGACAACGGTAAGAGGTATTTCATCCTGCCTACACAAGGTTTATGGTGCAGGCAGGAAGAATCGTGGAGTCGAAAAGGTAGGCACGGAGTCGCCGTAACGTCAGCTATTGCGAATAGATAATATAATGGTAATCTCGTGTCTGATCATCATGGGAACAGTAATTTATCTCTAACCCTTTAGAGGCACTTTAATGAAGTAGTCCACCGTTTTTGTTAGCAAATGAGCCTTATAGCCAGCGCAACCTTTAAAATTTAAATTAAACCTTAAGGTGAACGATAAATTCACTCAATTGCGATCGGTGAATGTACGAGTTACCTCAGAATAGAAGTTAACAATAACGATTAGCGTCTACAAGAGAGGGAGGATAGTTCATCTAAATGAAATTTATGGAGGGAACAATAACAACTTGACTGCAACCGGATATTAGGTATTGTAGTGATACACTGCAAAATGTCAGGCGATAAGCTTTCGGCGTCGTACAATAAAATCCCTGAGGGATATGCCACATACTTGATTCCGTGTTCCACCGTCAAGGTGACTGAACGCGAATTTAGTCTATAAAAATGACTTTCGAGGTCTTATATATGTAAGAGGCTATTGTTTTTTATCTTCCCAAAGCAGTACGTTACGAATTTTCCAGCTCCGGAAGAATGATGCGCGTGATTAGCCAAGGCGTGGTAGCAGGTCAATGACCATGTGCACATCAGGGTACCACTGACCATTGCGCTACACATGCCTAGTAATAAATAATATGGAGAAGAAAAGTGAGTGGGAGGGAGCGACGTAGAAGTCATTGAACGCACAAGAAAAGCAGTTGTCCGCTATATGACGAAATTACGTCTCATGAAATCAACAAGAAGTAATCCTTAGTGCCTAGCAGGTAACGTAAAATCTTTTTCTATCGTTACATGGTACGAAATGGGTACCAATCATGACCTTGCACAATCCAGTTTGAATAGGCCGAACAATTTCGTAGTACAGTGAATGATTGGCAACAATATTGTAACAATCAGCAAAGGGAACAAACCATGGATGAGGACTTAGAGAATATTGTTCCCAAGCTACGAAGCTTATCCGAAGTTCAACTAGTTCTTTTTACAGCAACCTCTAGATTCCTTCCTACTTAAAGCTGAAGACATTGACGCTGACCGAAGTACGGGTTCGTACGTGAAGAAGCAGCCTGCATTCGAAACTGAAAAAGTGGCATATGGATCGGTGAGTAATCGCCATTGTGTGTTTTAAGAACCACTAGGATTCAAAATTTATAAGAAACAGGAAATTGGATTTTGAAAAAGCTTAGCGTTTACCTAAAGAATAGTGGTTCTTAGCGACGATAGGGTGAATAGATTTGCACGATGATCATCAACATCGTACCATTCAGCAGGTTCCTCAGTAACTACCCTTAGGTTGAAATTACTTGGTAACATGAAACGAGTATTGCTTAAATTTCATTCAAGGTGGTTGCTGTCAGGAAAACTTATCCATGTTTTTCAACGACATATATTATGTACACATACATACATATTCGTATATGTATATGTGTATACATATATATATATATGCATGTACAGATGTATATGCATACATACATGTGTATACACATATATATGTTTATATATGTGTATATGTACATATATACAACCTTTGAAATTTCTTTTGTAGGTTTTCGAACACCTTTCTCTGGGCAAGTGGCGTGAAGATCCGTATAACTTCCTTCTTCTTGTTTCGATCACCATCTTGACTTTTACAGCTATCGCCGTTCTTGTTCTTGGTAAGTTGGACGGTCTAATCAAGCAGTTTCTACGGTGCATTGTCGAATACGGCCATAGCTTAGAATGAATCACCAACTCGGGGCGATCACCTTCGCCTTAACATAGCTCATTCAAATTGACTGCGTATGTTAGACGATGAATACATAAAAAGAGCTCTGATATTTTTGGTAAGATACCAGTGAATCGATTCATCCTTTCTAAAAGTCAAATCTTTCGAAAAAAAAAGTGGGAAGTGAGATTTTGCTTGCGCATTTGGCGATAGCACGATCCCGCATGAGCTGCTGTTCAACGAATTAGTAACATTCTCATAACTTTCACAGCACATTTCCAGTACTGGTGAAGATGTACCTTCGTGTTGTGAAGGGCAATCAGTCGCTTGGCATATCGTTGCTCATCGGCATCATCAACCTTTTCGTTACTGCATATTTCTTCATTTTTGATGCCACCGACTTGGTTAGTCGCTATCTACCTACCAATAACGATTGGGTAGTACCACACAGAACCCTCAACGAGCTTCTTAGAGACTTGTCTATTGGGGATCTAAGCAAATGGCTTTAGAACTTTTGAGTAGTGGTCTATGTCTATGAGGGCAAAATCACATTTATGACTTCTAGTTCCTCTTGGTGTGGAGCTTGCTATTTTTGATAATTAATAGAGTCAATAGGTTTAACGATGCTGAGATATTTGCAAAACTCCAGACCGCAGGTATCTGCGGTGGGGAACGAACGCGCTATTGTCCTTTCCGGGAGTAACGCGTTCACCACCATACCATGCGGGACCTTCGTCTCGCCTGTCTCTCAAAAAGAGTCGATATGGTTGCTCGTTACTTAACAAAATTGTAGTAATACCTAGTAATCAGACGAAAAATGAATTCAGACAAAAAAGTTCCGCAACAAAAACTCTCCATTGCGACTCCAGATTCTTGTTCCACCCATCGCTGGTAGCCTTAAATCGAATTTGACGTATTCTCAAGAGTCGAACAGTTGGACTCCACATGTTTCCAAAAATGGATTAATTCCCATAAGATTTCGTTACGCAGATCGTCGTCCTTCTTTTAAGGTGTGCCGACTTAGACTGGCGATGCATGGATTCGGATATTCGCTGTGTTTTGGCGTAATGATAGCGAAGGCCACACAGCTGAGGAATGCCGAGACCCTCGGCTTTGGCAGCTCTGTGCATATTTCGTTCTGGAACTACTGGTTGCTGTTGTTCTTCATCATTGGTGTCCAAATAGCTCTCAACACCAGGTACATCCACGAATACGACGTCGATCGTGCATGTTTTTTTCGATTACTGCAGAATTTTTCCCCTAATTACAAAACGCATGAATACATGAAGAAATCTAGTCTAACTTTAGTGAAATTCGAAAATGTACTTTTAAACGATTTTTTTAAAGAACTGTAGCGGTCGTGTGCAGTTAGCACTGGAGCATATGTGGACGCGTTATGTCCTAGCTATAGAGAATCCCGCTTATTCAACTCCCTCAGCTCGCGAAACACAAGCCTCAAAAGAAGTGGAGAGAATTACAGAAATTGTGAACTCCACAACCGTAGCACCTCATAATGGTAGAATAGCAAAATTTTCATCTCTTTGGCAATGAATTAGCTCCAAAAGTTATTTGAATGATAATGCAAATGGGCCGGATCTGTCGACATCTCTCCTGCTAATTCAGGTGGATGACCGAGCCATTCATGTCCACACTCGCGGTGTCCGACTCGCGGACGGAGATGGTGTGCACGATGGGTAGAGAGGAGTTCGTGCTCGCAAACATCTACGTCGTCATCCTGCTCTTCCTCACTCTCTTCATAAACAGCATTAATCGAAACATTAAGAGAAACTACAAGGTGACTAAGAGCAGTTCTTTTATGCTATTTTACGGTTTACCATTTAGCGATGAACGTTTTCTATTCATGCAATAGTGATAAGATGAAAAATAACGCCCCTGTTCTGCCTTATGATCCATGTTGATACGAAACTGCGCTTTTGACACTTACAGCCCGATGTTAATTTTTTACGGCTACCGTAACGGTACGTAATTTTCAACAACTAGAGCTGTTGGTAAGTTGAGAATTTGAATGGCTCAAAGAAGAGACTTTGTTTTGTCAATCTAGAAAAGTTAAATGGTTTTTCTAAAACATTACGCTAGTTTCACACCTGTTTAAAACCCACCCTTTTTAAGAATTAGAGACTCGACGTAGTTTTCTAAGCCTTCATTTTACGTCGGGGTGGCAGCAGCCCACATTGAAAGAAACCACTATATCCTACTGGACGGAATCCCGCCTCTTCAGTTGTTTTCGTGCGGCTGGACGAAAGGAAAAGAGAAATAATATGGTTCCATTGGCAGCAGACAGTCACAATTTAAACTTGGTGGAATAGAAGAACTTCAAGGACAAAAATCTTTAAATGTTAACGGCTTCTGTTTTTATTTCAACTAACAAAGCTCTTTTCCTTCAAACGGTTTACTACCTCATCGTGGGTGGGAGGTGTTCTTGAGTGTTGGGCTGCGATGTACAGCGGGAGGATTCCATCCACTCCCTCCCATCCACTGGCAGGGTCTCCCAAGCTGAGAAGGAGTCCGCCGTTTCCCTCAGGAGGCCTAGCTAAGAGTAAAGCAATACCAAGATCGACTACCATCCAGGTATGGAAATCGCATAGTGGCAATGGGAAATCTCCCTCTGACCCACAAGGGCTGCGACTGCCTATGGTGGTAACGACCTCGGGTACACTTTGGCCTGGCTAACCTCGGGATTCCAGGGAATCACACTGGCTAAACCAGCAAAACTCCGAAAAATGGAGAATATGCTGGGACCCGCAAAACCAGCGAGTACGGGCCATCCAAGTATCCAAGTAACAAAGCTTTATAGGAGCTGATATATTTTGTTTTAAAGTTGATGGTTACCATTATTTTCGCATCGAGTGGCTCCTATTGAGGTCACGTCGTTGCGTAAGAGTTCATCGAAATTGTTATATCTAAGATATGCAGTCTTATTTCTTTTCCCGCTTCGTGATGACCTTGTAAATAAAAAAATGCAAAAGAGCAAATTGGCTGAGACATCTGCACCGATGAAATCCCAGCTAGGAAGTAGGTAGAGAATAAAAGAATTATAGTTCCCAGGATCGACTTTCTATTAACCTCGGCATTGGAATATGAATGTGTCGTTTTCTTCTTCAGCAATCGCAAGGTTTTTAAACACCATACATTTACTTCCATAGAGAAACACAATACAATACAACACAACACCAGCTGACGTTTCGGCAGCATCGCCCTCTTCAGAGTCTGGAAGGGTATACTGATATACAATCTACTGGGCCAAACGCTTCAATAACACTTGAAAAAAGACGAAAAACTCTATGGTAACTACATGATCAACCGCTTCTCAAAAAAACGCTTTTTTCGTGACTTCCAATGAGGAAGTTTAGCACAGCTGATTATAGTCGCATGTGGTTGACGACTGCACCATCCCACATCAAAAATCGATGCGAACATATGGGATCAGGTCGGGTATGACCTCCGGGCATTCGTCCCTGCTATTCATTGTAGGGTTTTTGGCATTTATCCAAAGAGCCTCAAGGAGTTTTCGCGCTGGTGTTTTGGACTCCTGTGCAAGGATATTGACTTTCACTTCAAAATCGTCTCCGCTATGCTTTTGTATCCCATGCGTGCCTAGTGGGGTGCTTCGTCTTAGTTTTCGTTTGCCATCTAGGTGTTCCTTTATACGGATACACAATGGTCTGTTCGTTTCGCCAATATATTCATCTCCGCAATTGTTACAAGAGATCAGGTATATCGTACCTGAACTCATGCAATCACCGTCCCTGCCGTAAGGGCAAATTACGCAATTTGTTGTTTCACACAGGCGTTCATACAGGCGGTTGCGAACTAATTGGCGACGTAGAGTAGTCGGTAGTATTTCAACTATCGCTACCGATTCCTCTAGACCTGCNCAGGTATATCGTACCTGAACTCATGCAATCACCGTCCCTGCCGTAAGGGCAAATTACGCAATTTGTTGTTTCACACAGGCGTTCATACAGGCGGTTGCGAACTAATTGGCGACGTAGAGTAGTCGGTAGTATTTCAACTATCGCTACCGATTCCTCTAGACCTGCCCTTCTTAAGCATCGTTTTATAGATGCGCTTACTTCATCGCTTATAAAAGGCAATATAAACAGGATTTTGTTTTGGTCAAGTGTTTCGCGTGGGCGCGTCGCTCTCCTCCTAAACTTATCTCGTGGGGTTACTATTTCGTAACCATTGGAGATGGCT